CAGGTGCGGCCCAGAGGGCAGCGACGCACCGAGACTGGGGAGCCTCGAGGCATGAACAAAGCTGAGCAGGGCAAGAGGGGGGCCAAGGGGCAGCCGCGGGGCTGGCCCGGCGGCGAGCAGCCTGGAGCCAGGCGGAACAGGACACTGGAGAGCGCGGCGCCCAACCCAGCGACCGAGCCCTAGCCCCGAGAGAAGCGAAGCGCGGAGACCCGTGGGCCTGCGAGGCGCATCCGCGGGGGAAGGGCCGGGGCGGCACCGCTGGAGAGCGAACCAAGGCGGCCGGAGCTGGGCGGCGGACGAGCCGAAAAAGCGGGCGGCCAGGACTTCGAGCCGCGCCGACGGGGGATCCCCGACGTCGGCTACGGAGGGGAGCGCCGAGACCAGGCGAGGCGGGATTGTACAGGGGCGCAGCAGCACCGAGGGCACGGGGAGGGGCCCTTCCAAGAGCGAGCACCGAGGTCGGATGCCAACTGGCGGCGGGCAGGCGGGCTGCGCGCAATGAAGGGCGACAGGCCAACGCGCGCGGAAGAACCCAGGGGCGGAGCTACCTGAGTACCCGAACGCGGCGAAATGACAAAGCAGCGACCGCGGCCAGACACTGGCAGCCGGCATTGGGCGGGCGGCCGGAAGTACCAGAGAAACGTCGCAACCATGCACCGGTAGCCGGTGCTGGGGGCGCGGCTAGAAGGCCGGGCAGAGGAGGGGCACAGGCACCAAAGTGAATGCTGCCCGGGCCGACCAAGCCGGCAAGGCCGAGGGGTGCCGCAGACTGGGCCTGGACAAAACCTGCAGAGAGCCGGCGCCCCGAGAGGTAGGAAGCGGCGGCGGCGGCGTCGCAGAGCACCCCAAGGCAAGCGGGGGGGGGCGGCGCACAGCCACGAGCAGGCGGCAAGACCAGCCAGCAGTGACGGGGCCAACCCGGGGAAGTCGGCCAGCGGGGAGCCAGCCGCTCGCAAGCGCAGGCGCGGGCGGGCACGCGCCTGTGTGCGAAAGGAGGGCGAGCCACAAGCAGGGGGGGGGCTTGCGGGGGGGCACCGAACATGCGCACGATGGTGGGCAGCCACGAGGGCAAAGAAAGGCGGCGGGCAGGCCCCGAGCAAGAGCTGGAGGCCTGCGGGGGGGGGGCACCGAATAGGCGCGCGATGCGAGAAGCCACGAAGGCTGGAAGGGGAGGGCGGCGGCAAAAGGGGCCACTGCCAAGGCGCGGGTGCCGCGCTCAGCACAGGTCGAGGCCGTGATGCCGCTGAAGGTCACCACGGGTGGTTGCTGGAAGCTGATCAGCGCTGGCGGGAAGGGTCATTGCGAGGCCACGAGGAGTCCGTTGGCCGCTTCCCTTTCCCGTGCGAAGGAGCACCCTTCCCTTTGCCTTTTGCGAGGTCAGAGCGTTGCCTCCGCATGCCAAGTTCGCGATGCCACTCAGAGTTCCAGTCGACGTGTATGCTTTTGTTCCAGCAGAGCCTGCGCACGTCGTAGTTGACCCCGCTGAGGTCAGTAACGAGGCATTTGCATAATTCTTGGTCGCGACGCTGCGGGTCTTTGTCAGAGCGGGGCCCAGATTCGTGATCGCAAACGGCGTTTCCACCAAATGGTGAGCATGGGGCCGCATTCTTTCTTGAGGCGATCGACCACTGCTCTCCAGTCCTCCCTTGCGTTGTCTCGGTGGTTCCAGGTGGGGGCCCAGGTAAAATGGTGCCTTGGTCCATTGTGGAGCCCCTGTCCGAGTCCCGTCTCCAGGGCGGGGTGGTCTCCGGTAAGCCTCGGCCGCGCTCCCTCTGAGGTGCGTCCAGGCTGCGCTGTTCGCCGGCGCTGTTCGCCGGCGCTGTTCGCCAGTCCTGGAGGTTTTGTAGATTGTTTCACCCTCTGCGGTCGGCGATGCGCTGGAGGGGGGCGCCGCTGGCGGCGGGGGCACGGCGCGGATGGGGTTGGTAGGGGGGCGCCCGCGGACCGCTGGCCGAGAGGATTTGGCTGTCGAAAAATGACGACCCTCACAGGGATGGCGCCTCTCCTCGCCTCTCATCGTGGGCTGGAGGCCTCCGCTGGTTCATTGGGCCAGCTGTGGGCCGGGCGCCTTGGCATTCGAAAAGTGGCGACCTTTACGAGGATGGCGCCCCTCCCAGCGGGCTGGAGGGCTCTGCTGGCTCTGGGGCCGGGCGTTTTGGCTTTCGAAAGATGGCGACCCTCATTGGGGTGGTTCCCCTGCTGGTGGGCCGTAGGGTTCAGCCAGCTCTGTGGGCCAGCTGTGGGCCGGGCGCCTTGGCTTTTGAAGAACCCTCGCGAGGGCCAGCTGTGGGCCGCGCGCCTTGGCTTCCGAGCAACACACATACATGTGGGATCGACGTGGGGATAATCATTTGACCTGGGGCTGCGGCCTCGGGAGCGAGAGCGCGTTGAATTTGACGTGGGTTGAGATGTCGGGTGCGCGAGTCGATTGCGATGCGCGCGGGGCCTGGGGCCTCGGGGGCGCGGGCCTGTTGTACTCTCACGTGTCCCGGGGCGCCCGAAGAAATTCTGAGAGCCCCGCTGTGGGAAGGGAGCCGGCCGATTTGGGCCCCCCCCCCCCGCGCGGATTGCGATCGGGGCAATGTTGAAGCTGTAGATGTCGCATGCAGAACTGGAGCTGTTGCACGAAACAGGAACACCTGCGCCACGTAGCTCGTTGGCCCCCCAGGGGGACTGGCGGATTCTACGTTTAATGAACATGCTAACGTATCGCGGGGTGTTGCCGAACACGTTTGCGATATCATTCCGTGGACGATCTATCCTACAGTACCCCCTTGACATATTAAGTTCTTCACTGGGCTCGGAGTAGAAATCGCGCATGTCATTGCGAGCCCGCGTCTTCATTTTCTTGTGTGCCCGTTGCGATTACTCGTCAGTTGCTTCGGCTTCCCAGCGAGATTATGCGGCTTCGTGTTGATCCCAAGGTTTCCTCGGCAGCTCAACTCCCCCAGCCAGTACACGTCGTTGGGACGGCTTGGGCCTGGCGCCCTACTGGCGACTCGCTCATCGGTCTTCGCGCCTGCCCCCTCCCAGTATGACGGACACGTCGGCCCCTGTTCACGTCATGTCGCCTGTGTGGGTTATGCCTCACGGCGTGCAGCGATTTTTTCGGCATTTTGTCAGACAGCACGTGCCCGAGCTTCCCAGGATGCCCCCTACCGTCAGCTTCCCGCGCAGCCTTGTGGCTGCTTGGTGAGTGGGCCGGCCGGCTAGCGGCGCGTCTTATAGCTAATCAGCCTTGTTCGCTGCCCCGGACATTTGCTTTCGCCGCGTGTGCTCTTCGCTCGTGGCCGCGACCAAAAAAAATGATCCCAAGGTCCTTAGGGCTTCCTGTGATTCTTTCCCCCCTCTGCTGTCTTATGCGTTACTCGTAATTGGGCGCTGGGAAATGCGGCGGGCTTCGTGTCTTCAGCCTCGATCGCTCCATGTCGGCAATGTCCCAGGGCGCCGCACTTTTTGATCTGCATGCTCACAATATCGCCAGGAGGCCGCCGCCGGACGTGATCATTGATCTGGCTTGTGGTGCTGACGATATCTCTGGGGGGTACCAGCCGCTTCCCAGGGTTGCACCGATCCTGTGTGCCCATCCCGGATCGGCGCATGTGCCTCTGTGGCCAGGCCGGGAGGGCGCGTGCGCCGATCCTGGGCCCCGGATGGGCCTGCCAGGATTGGGATGTGTGCATCTCTCTCTCTCTCTCTCTATACATATATATATAGATATATCCCTCTCTCCCTCTCTCCCTCTTTCTGCGTATGTCAGAGGAGGATCGATCTGCGTATCCTGCAACAGAAACCGGAGGAGCACGGGGACGCGAAGAGGGGAGGAGGAGGAGGAGGAGGAGGAGGAGGAGGAGGAGGAGGAGGAAAAAGATCGGTTCAGCAGACGACCGGTTCAACAGGGACCGGTTCAACAGACGACCGGTTCAAAAGACGACCAGTTCAGCAAGGACCGGTTCAACAAAGACCGGTTCAACAGGGCCGGTTCCGCAGAACCGGTTCCACGGAGCCCGTTCCACAGGACCGGTTCCGCAGGACCGGTACCACAGAACCGGTTCCACAAGCCCGGTTCCACAGGACTGGTTCCACAGGACCAGTTCCACAGGGCGGGTTCCACAGAGGTGGTTCCCTCCTGCTACTCTCTCTCATTACACTGCTGCTGCTGTTGCTGCTGCTGCTGCTCCTCCTCCTCTTCCTCCTCCTCCTCCTCATCCATCCCTCTCTGCCCTCCCGCCCTCCCCCATCCCTCGTTGCCGCCACGTCCCCCCGCCCCACATCCCTCATCCCTCCCTACTTCCTCCTCCCCTCTCCTCCCTCATCCATCATCGAGGGCCACCCGGTTCCGGGGAAACGGTTACCGGGGAAACGGTTTCGTATCGGAGGAGGAGGAGGAGGAGGAGGAGGAGGAGGAGGAGGAGGAGGAGGAGGAGAAGGACCAGTGCAAACCCGAGACTCATCAACGATTTTGGGATACACCCTCCCTCGTCACAGGCCCCTACAAGGGTTCATTTCCAGTGAGGGAAGTGCCCCGTTGGGGGACAACCGTGTGAACACATCCTGAAGCATGCCAAAACACCATTTCTCAGGGGTTCAAAGCCACGAGTCAACCAGACGGTTGCGCCTTGACGATCCTGACTCGAGCCAGAACATGATTCTTTTTGACTTCAACAGCGCGAATCAACGTAATTGTTGCACCCTGACGCTCCTGAATCGCTTCACAACGAAATTCCTCGTGCGTCAACCATGAGAAGTCATGAACGTCTTGCAACATTGTACGACGACTGCGCGCCGCTCGAAGGCGAGAGCCACATTTTGAAAAGGAACTGCTCTCAATCTGTGAAGCTCTTGCAGCTCGCAGATGTTTAAAACGAAAGTGGCGGGCTACGGCGAGAGCCACATTTTGAAAACGACCCGCCCTCAATCCGCGAAGCTCTCGCAAATTTTTGAAACGAGTATACGCGGTACTCAGGCGAGCCACAGTTTGAAACCACCCGACATCAATGTGTGAAGCTCTTGCCAGTTGTTGGAACGAATGTAGGCGGCGCTAAGGCGAGAGCCACATGTTGAAAACGGCCCGCCCTCAATCCGTGAAACTTTTGCAAATATTTAAGACGAGTGTGCACGGCACTAAGGCAAGAACCACATTTTGGAAGCGGCACGCCCTCCATTAGTGAACATGTTGGCAGTTTGTCAGCTTCAGGCTTATAAGGCGAAGTGCCTGGCCCGCCCTTTCGACTGGACTCGGGGTGCGACAGGGAGGAGTTATTCATAAGGAAAAAGGAGGAGGATGCAAGCTGCGAGGAGGAGGAGAAGGAGGAGGAGAAGGAGGAGGAGGAGGAGGAGGATGGGGAGGAGGATGAGGAGGATGCAAGCTGCGAGGAGGAGGAGGAAGAGGAGGAGGAGGAGAAGGAGGAGGAGGAGGACGATGGGGAGGAGGAGGAGGAGGATGCACGCTGGGAGGCCGACCGGGGGCCTGGCCCCACGGAAGGGAGGCGCCTCCCCCCTCCCCCCCTGCGCAGGCTGCGGGGGCGGCGGCGGCACGGCGGGGTCTGGGAGCGCCTGCGCCGCAGCTGCTCTCCTCCTCCAACTCTGCCCTTCCAACTCTGCCCTTTTCTCCTCGTCCAATCCTCCCCTCTTTCGCCGTCGTCGTCGTCGTCGTCGTCGTCGTCGTCGTCGTCGTCGTCGTCGTCGTCGTTGTGGTCGTTGTGGTCGTCGTCGTCGTCGTCGTTGTCGTCTCTGTGTGTATATATAATATACATATATGGGAGATCCCGGGCCCCGGGCCCTGGGCCGAGACCTCCCTTGTATTTCGGTGCCCCACCCCCCCCCGGCAGCTTTCCTGGAAGCCTGGGGCCTCCCTGGGGCGCCCCCGGACCCTCCCCGAGGCCTCTCCGGCGCTTCTATTGGGTTACCGGGCAGCCCAAGATGGCGCCAAAACGGCCCAAGAAGCCCCCAAGACGCTCCGTAGCCATTTTGGCTCAAGCTATTTTGGTTTCAGTGTTGTCGGCCACGAGCTTTAGTCTTCAGTGCACAGTCGCCTCTCAGCGTATCGTCTCCAGAGATGGCCCGTGTCGTCGGACTCATTTGCCTGTTTCATTCGTTTACTCCGCTTTTGGCAGAAGATGGGGCCGTGGTTTTCGTCGTCGATCCCAGCTGGGACTGCGTGGAGAGCTACGTGGCTCACGTACCTCTGCTGCAGAAGTACAAAATTGTCAAGGTCATGACACGTCTTGGGACTGCACCCCCGTGCAAACAGGGCCACGCCGAGATCTACAGGAACTTCACCTTTAACTCGGCGACGCCGAACGACTCCGCTGCCGCCGAAGGCATCTGCCCCGAGTTGCTGAGCTTGGGCGTTCCTGTCAGGGCTGTCATCCCGACGCACGACCCTGCGGTGTACCTGGCGGACCAGCTCGCGGCTTGTGTAGGAGTACGGGGGAACCCGTCCGAGGGGCCTTTGGCGAAGGCCAGACGCGACAAGTGGGTCATGGGCGAGGCCGTGCGTAAGGCTGGGCTCCGCGCTGTCCACGAGAAGGTCGTCTCCACGTGGAGCGAGGCGAAAGCGTACCTGCAGTCTTTGGATCCGCCTCTGTCCCCTGCCAACCCTGTCATCTTCAAGATCCTCGAGGGGTCTAGCAGCGAGGGCGTGAACAAAGTGTACAGCCTCGAGCAGGCCGAGGGCATATTCAGTGCCGATACCAGCGGCGACAGTCACTTTGGAAGCAGGATCAAGAAGCTGCTCATACAGGAGTTCTTGCAAGGCGACGAGTACGTTATCGACTCTGTCAGTCGCGACGGAGTGCATAAGGTTGTCACGGTCTGGAACGAAGAGCTCCATCCAGGGAATGGTGTCTTAGATTTGTACTACGGCTTCAAATCCATGGATCCGCAGGACCACAAGATCCAGGCCATCATCGAGTATGCGAACAAGGTGCTCGATGCCACTGGTCTTCAGAATGGTGCCTCGGACATGGAGGTATTCTGGCTCGAGAAGGAAGGCAGACCTTGCGTCGTGGATTTGAACGGTCGCTGGACTGCTCTCATGTGGCACGACGGCCTGGCCCTCGAGAAGGAGACCGTTGGAAACGACCAGATCACAGCGACCATCAACGCGTACCTCGACGGAGACGCCTTCGAGGAAATGCCGCTTGTCCCGTCTATGAAGCAGCACGGCGCGATCATTTTCACAATGGCTCGCCAAACAGGCTTTCTCAGGGATATTCCAGGGCTGGCAGTGGCGAAGGAGCTGCCTTCGTATTCGGGTAGCTACAATGATGGAATGTTCGTGGGCACGTTGATTGACAAGCTCCCCACCAGTCACCCTTGCCTCTTCATCCTGCTCGCTCACAGGGAGAAGGCCGTGGTGGATGAAGACTACGATCGCATCATCGGCCTGGAGAATTCGGGCGCTTGGTTTGACATCAGGCAGTTGCCAGGGAACACGTCGCTCACAGCGTTGCGATCAAACTTCGACGGTTTGCCAGGCCAGCGGCTGCCAGCGATTGCTGCGTTAGCGATGCTCGCAGTTGCAGCCGTGTTCGCCCTCGTCGCAATGTCGATGCAGAAGGTCCGAGATGGCACAGAGTATCTGGCAATTTGATGGACACTCGCTGTTTTCTTGGGACAGGGCACAGAAGAGTGAACCATTGTAGTTTGTCGCGTCGGAGTGCCGAGTGCATGTTTGCCTACAGGGGTTCACTCGAGAATAGTTGGTCTGACACAGGCTGACTCTTCGTCGTGCTTCGCATTTCTGTTCTGTCTGGGAGTCTGCATGAGTCTCTGGCACAGACTACATTTTCAGGCTTGCGTGGAAGGTTCCCGAATCGAGCAAAACAATCCGTCCATTGGCGGAACTCCGGATTAGAAAATTTTCACCAAGAACTCTCGGATCTCCGCGCGGATGTCTCGCTTTGACGATGGACACGCCCTCTCTGGCGCGCGGAGCGCACCAGGGGCGGTGCCGCAGGCGCCGCCAGACCTTCGAAGGTTCGGCTGGAAGCCTTTCTGTTGTTCTCTTCTCAATGGTGCCCTGTTTGGGAGGCAACCTCAATTTTCAGGACGGCCTGGGCAGTTTCCAGCCAGGGCCAGCACAGTCTGCTATGCGCCTACCGACTTGTCGATCCGAGCGCACGCGATGCAATTGGTGTGGAGCACAGCCACTCGTCGCTAGGTATTGACATGTTATCGCATCTTGAAGTCCCCTTATCGAGCGGTAACAAAAAAAAAAAAGCCCCCAAGACGCTCCACGACGGCTCCAGAGGCCTCCAAAGACGGCCCAAGAGGCCTTCAGGAGGCACCCCAAAAAGGCGCCAAGAGGCAAACATCATTGATTTTCCTTGGGAAAACATAAATTTTCAGCAGGTACACTTTTTCGGCATTCACGGCGTTGAAGACGGTCGAAGAGACCCCTACGATCGCCCCAAGACGGCCCAAGAGGTTCCCAAGAGGCGCCCAAGACGGCCCAAGAGGGCGCCAAGACGGCCCAAGAGGCTCCCAAGACGGCCCAAGAGGGCCCCAAGACAGCCCCAAGAGGGGTCCAAGACGGGCAGCCCGAACCCAGAATCCGAGCCTTCCGCCCCAAAAAGGCCCCAGGATGCCCCAAGAGGCCCCCAAAAGGCTCCCAAAAAGCCCCCAAGAGGCTTCCAAGGGGCGCTTAAGAGGCCCCAAAAAGGCCCGAAAGAGGGCCCAAGAGGCACGGGCGGCGGAAAGTCGGCGAAAGCAGTTTCGATACCATGCCGGGCCCGGCGCATGGGAGGAGGAGCGGGAGGAGGAGGACTGGGAGCGTCATATCTAACGTCCTACCCCTCCCCCCCCATCCCTTACCATCCAGGATCAAAGTTGCCCCAAGTGCCCTCTTGAACCGAAGACGACGAAGACGACGAAACGACGAAGACGAAGACGACGACGGCGACGACGACGACGGCGCGCCCCAAGAGGCGACGACGACATTGCGACGACGACGACGGCGACGACGGCACGCCCCAGCAGGCTCCCCAAGACGCCCCCCAAACCCATGTTCCCGCAATGCCTTTTGGGAAGCCGGTTAATCAGGCCTCCGCCCCCCTACGCAGCCATCCTCCCCGAAAGCCTTCCAGAATGCGGATTGACGCATGGACTTCTCACTGCCCATACTGCGTTCAGCGTTGTGGGCAATTTACTTCCCGCTCAAACCATCTGTGGTCCACTTACTTCAGTGGAGCAGTGCACTCGTCAAGGCCTGGGGTCTGCTAGAACCTGAACGCGCGCGAAGCGCGCGCGCGATGGTTCTAATAATATATAATAATATATAATATATATATATATATATATATATATATGTGTATATATGTATGTATATGGATATGTGTGCTACATGTTTATCTCTCTCTCGCTCTCTCTCTCTCTATATATATATATATATATGTATATATACATGTAAAAATATGTGTGTTCCCCATCTCTTCTTTTTCTTTTTTTATTTGTTTTGTTTCTCTCTCTCTCTCTCTGTTTTCTCTCTCTTTCTCTCTTTCCCTTTCTCTTTATCTGCTTCTCTCTCTCTCTCCATCTTTCGTTCTCTCTCTCTCTATCTCTCTGTTTATTTATGCTTATTTCTCTCTCTCTCTCTCTCTTTCTTTATTTCCTTGTTGTTTCTCTCTCTCTCTCTCTCTCTTTTCTCTCTCTCTCTCTCTCCTCCTCTCCCTCTGTCTCTCTCTCTCTCTTTCGATGGGCCCTGGGAGGCCTCCGGCGGCCTCGAAAGCCCCGCGCGAGGGCCCAGATGGCCCCAAGATTGCTCGAGATGTGCCGAAGATGGCCCGAAGAAGGGCAAAGAGGCCCCCCGGAGACCCCAAGAGGCAGCAGATGGACAATATATTCGAACCCTCGCACATTCGAGGGAGATTCTAAATCACCCCCGCGCCCCCAACATCAATGTTGATCTCAGTAAAGGCGGTGCCTTGGGGCTCGAATACTTCTGTCCACTCACGCCCCCCCCGTCGCCACGTCATCAATATTAATTTCGGGGGGTCGGGGGGGCATCTTGGGCCACAGGGTTCGAATGTAATGTCCATGTACGGGAGCTCCGAGAAGCGTCCCAAAAAGGGCTCCCAGAGGCAAACCTCACAAATCTCCGGTTGGTTTTTTGACAGTTTTTGAGGGCTCTCGCTTTTTCGGCCCGTCAACGCTCCTCGACGGCCCAAAGGCCCCCGAAACTGCCCCAAGCAGGCACAAGAGGCCTCCAAGCTTGCCCTAGGACGGCCCAAGGTGGTCTCAAGACTGCCTAAGAGGCGCCCACGACACTCGTTGAGGGCCCAATGATGGCCCCAAACGGCCCCTTCCCCGAGCAATTTCTGCGCGCCCCCGTTCCGAGTTGGTCCGGTCGGACTTCAGTTCGCGGCTGGGGCCCCAGAAAAGTTCCAAGACAGCCGCCAATGGGCCTTAGGAGACCTTTGGTGGCCTCGAAAGCCCCCCACGACGGCCCAGATGGCCCCAAAATGGCTCGAGATGTGCCGAAGATGGCCACCAGAAGAGCACAGAGGCTCCCCAGAGACCCCGAGAGAGCTCCGAGAAGCGTTCCAAAAAAGGCCCCCAGAGGCAAGCTTCACAAATCCTTAGTTGGGTTTTTGGAGGCTTTTGACGCTTTTCGTTTTTTCGGCCTGCCGACGCTCCTCGACTGCCCAAAGGCCTCCAGGACCGCCCCGAGGAGGCACAAGAGGTCCCCAAGGCGGCCCAAGGTGGCTTCAAGACGGCCTAAAAGGCGCCCGAGACACTCGTTGGGGGCCCAAAGATGACCTCAAACGTCCCCTTGCCCGAGCAATTTCTGCGCGCCTCCTTTCGCCCCCCCACGCCAGAGCCACCTAACGAACCAAAAGGGTTCGACAGCGCAGCATAGCAAGCCGTAGAAAACTTGTATATGTTTACAGATCTGTTCATATATATATATATATGTATACACACATATATACATACAGATGAGCGCGGACCCCCCAGCACCCACTGATCGTCTTCTCTTCGTTGACGGTGTGTTTCTCTCCATTTCCTCTCCGTTCGTTTTTCAATCTTGGGCCTATGCGTCCTCATCCTCGATTTCTTATTCTGCTCTTCCTGATACATCTCTTCCTCCTCTTCCTGCCACTGCGGGCCCTCCTGCTGCTTCTGCTCCTTCCCCTCCTGCTTCCGTTGTGCTCGTCTCAGCCGTCTCCTCCTCGTCGTCCTCCTCCTCTTCCGGTGAGGCAGGGGGGCAAAGAGACATAGGGGGAGAGAGAGAGAGAGAGACAGAGAGATTAGAGGGAGCAGCGATCCCTGTGAAATTGCAATGTGCGCATTATGTGGGCGTCAAATCCTTCGACTGTACTTGTTTGTTTTGTATTTCCGGTATGCGAACCACAGAAACCTTGTGATGTTATTTGGATGTTTGGTGGGATGTTTTTGGGTTTGGCATCCTCCAGCGAAAATCCACGCTGCAACCCTCCCGAGCTCTGAACACCAGAAATCTTTCAAATCATAAACATCCAAAGGGCATCAGAGGGTTTTTGGGATTCCCAATCCCAAACATTTGCATGACATCGCAGGGTTTGGCGCCCCCTTCATTCGCGAACCATGGGATGTCACAGGGATCGCTGCTCCCCCAAGTCTTTCTCTTTTTTTGTTCCCTCTCTCTCGCTGCCTCTGTGGCTCATCAGAATGAGGAAAAGGCCTCTTCCTCTTCCTCTTCCGATGAGATACTTTAGGGAGCAGCGATCCCTTTGAATTTGTAAGGTTTGCAAAGTAGGTGGGCGTCAATCAACTCTTGTGATTTTATGTGAATGTCTTGGGATTTCTGGTATCAGAATCACAGTAAACATGTAATGCATGTTTGGTTGATTTGACACTCTCGAGCGAAAATCAACGCTGCAGCTTTCCAGACATATGAACCATAGAAATCCAAAAACACATAAATGCCACATGAAGTCACAGGACTTCTGGACATTCTCATCGCAGACATCCCAGCATCCCATGTGAAATCACGGGGTTCAGCGCCCCCTTACTTCGCAAACGCTGTGCTGTACACGGATCGCCGCTCCTTCGAGTCTCTTTCGTTTTTTCTCTCGCGCTGTCTCTCTGTCCCATTGCCTTATCGGAAGAGGAAAAGGAAGATGAGGAGAAGGAGGAGGAGCAGGAGAAGCGAGCGCAAAGAAAGGAGGAGGGGGGGAGCAGCAGCAGCAGCAGCAGCAGCAGCAGCAGCAGCAGCAGCAGCAGCAGCAGCAGCGGTCGGGTCCGCAGTAGCAGGAAATGGAATAACAGAAGTATCAGAAGAGGACGGATAAAAAGCAGGAGGACGCATAACAGGAGGGACAGGAGGTGGAGGGAACGAGCGGAGGCCTCCTCCGCGTCCGCCCCCTCCCCTCCCCCTCCGGTCGCGCCAGGAGCGGTGGCTCCTGGGGCGGCGGCGACGGCTCCTGGGGCGGCGGCGGCGGCGACTCCTGGGGCGGCGGGGGCGGCGACTCCTGGGGCGGCGGCGGCGGCGGCGGCTCCTGGGGCGGCGGCGGCGGCGACTCCTGGGGCGGCGGGGGCGGCGGCGGCGGGGGCGGCGGCTCCTGGGGCGGCGGCGGCGACTCCTGGGGCGGCGGCGGGGGCGGCGGGGACTCCTGGAGCGGCGGTGGCGCGGGCCGCCCCCAAGAAGAGAGGGGGCGCGCGGGGGGGCGCTCCCGGTGTGCCACCCCCCCTCGGCGCAGGCCTCGGCCTGCCGCCCGCGGGCGGCACGCGTCGTGCGCCCTCGGCGGCTGCGCTCCCTCCCGCCCGTGGGCGGGGGGGGGGTCTTGGCATCGCTCGGACGTGCGCATGTTTTCTCGGCGAAGACCATCGAGGAGCCTCCTGGACCATCGAGCAGAAAAAAAGACCACGCACGAAGCCGCACGATGCACGGGAGATGGACGCCCGAGCGACGGCCAGGTTATGGGCTGGGGAGGGGGGGAGCGTGCGGGTTCTGGAGTGCCCCTCGCAGGCGGCGCTGGCGGCGGCTCCTGGGGCGGCGGCGGGGGGAGCTCGTGGAGCGGTGGCGGCGGGCCGGCCACTCCGGGCCTGCAGGGTCAGGCCGGTTTTCTCTTTCGGGGCCGAAGGAGCTTGGCAGGAGTACGAGTGTGGTGGCGATCGCGGTGTCGAATTTGTTGCTGCACTTGTTTGAGGCGTGTGTTCTCCAAGCCACCTATGGCTCCGGGGTAAGGGTGGCATGCTATAAGCCGCAGCCCCCGCAAATGCGGATAAGAGTGAGCTGCTGTTCGGGGGCTGAGCGTCAATAGCCAAGGCAGAAGCCTGCCTAAGGCGTCACGCTTAAATTACACAAGTAATGGTAGTTAATTGCAGACGCTCGCCGCAGGCGCCGATCAGACAGCACATACCACCATGCGTGATAAATAGCAATGCTAACGGCGTTCAAGCATCCAGTTCCGTGCAGTAAGTTCAACCAGCGTGCTGGCGCAACACTGCGTGGCGACGCGGCGCGCACCGACGAGAAGGCCGTACAATTTGACACTTTCCGTCTCTCGTTTCTTTCTTTGTCTCTCTCTCTCTCTCTCTTTTTGTTTCTCCCTCTCTCTATGTATATATATATATATAGATCTCTTTCTGTCTATGTATATACAGATCTATATCTAAGTAATTCCTAACGTCCCCATCGTTGGCATGGTCTGCGAAAAGGAGAGTGACCCCCGCAGCTGTTAGTGCATCGAAGGAGTGTCCGCTCGCGCGGGCGACCTTCCCACCCTCGCGGCTGGCCGGCTTCTTTGCATACACATCATACTGGTACACCGACTGCTTACCGGACCTATCTAAGCCACGGCGTCAAGCACATTGTCTGCGCGTCGTGATCCAACAATTTTCTTTGAGCAGTATCAACACGAACACGCTGAACCAAAACATCAAGAACCGAAATATTTTGCTTGGATCCGTAATGAATCGGCAAAATACGGGCTGTCAGCCGACAGTTCTGCCATGAGACTTGGGGGTTGCGCTTCCCAGCTCGGACATTGATGCATTCGGTAATAAAGAACAGCGCTGCGGCTTAACAAGGACGCACAACATCATCTTTGAGTTCATCGCAGAATCACAGCGTGAACATATTTTCGCGCGATCGGCGGGAGGAGTTCCAGCGGAAGACGGGCCCAGCCGTTGCGACGCGCCGAGGGCGGGCGCGGACAGGGCCGACGCTGACGCTGAATGGCACGGCTCAAGGAAACCGAGGCGGGTCGCCCCTACCACCTGGCGTACGTCAGTCCTACGCGATCTCCTCTCTTGTCGCGGAGGACGGAATGGAGGAGGACCCAAAATCACAGATCCGTCTCGTCCGACGACGAGAGGTCTGTGAAGCCAGCGCCGCGCCGAGACGGGGACATGACCCGTGGCTCTGGTCCGGGGTGGCGGGCGCGCCAAGCTGCTAGTTTGACGCCGAAACTATTTGAAACCCGCGCGCGGCCATTTTCAAAACCACCATGAACCATTTTCAACTTCAGCACCGCACGGCCCGCAAGCGGCCTAGAACCATGAGAAAACCATTTTCATCATTCTTAATCTGATCCCCGACATGCCCGTGACCCTATCCAGCCTGTGGCCTCGGGTGCTCGCCCACGTCGGCACAACAGTTGTCGCCAGCGTCGGGGCCCACGGACGGCGGGCACGTCCCGCCCGGGGGCGATCCGGGCGGGGAAGCACCAAAACCGAGGGCCTCCGCGGCGAAGCAGCCGAGGGAAAGCTTCCGCCTGTCGATGCGATCCCCGCTCGTGAAGCGGACCGGGGCGGAGTGTGAGCACGAAGAGAATCAGGGACTCGAGCCATGGGGTTTCCCCGGGGGCTCTGCCCCTGGCATCTCTCCCCCTCCGACTAGCCCAGTGAGGGCCGCGCGCATCGGACGGCTAGCCGCACTGGGGGGGGGGCCCGGAGGGGCTTCTCGCCGACGGAAGCCCTGGCGAGGGCCGGAGATGCTTCGGCCCACCGCCAGCTCCCGCCACGTCAACGCAGGGTCGGCGGTAAGCGTGAAAACGCGCGCGAAAAACACCGCAACGGGACGGAAATTGGGGGGAACCGCCAAATTCGAGGGCCCTTGGAGGGCCCGGGCCACGTTAGGCCGCCAGGCTGGAGCCCGTCTCACCACCCGCGTGCCAGCCGGCCGCAGGAAGCGGTTCCATTGAGCCGCACGGCCTGCCTCTGCCACACGCCATCTCGCTTTAATTGCGTATATTTCACAGCTCGCGCCGCCGCCAACCACCCTGCCAACTGTTGTCGTTGACCCTTTACCTTACTGTCTGGCAGACACGCGCAGAAAGCAACCGACCTCGCCTCTCCCCTGTCCTCGCTTTCTCTAATTACTCACCCTCCTCCTCCTCCTCCTCCTCCTCCTCCTCCTCCTCCTCCTCCCACCTTTACCCCGGCGACAGACCTAGGCCACGGGTCCGCGAGGAGCATGGCGCCATTCGGCTCGCCCCACTTCCGCACTGCGTCGAGCTCAGGCTCGACCGTTGTCGTACTCGCGCACGCGCTTGCGTGACCGCTGACAAGCCTATGATCTGCTGGCACCGAATGCCCCGCCAACGGCCCGAGAGCAACCTGCTCGCTGAACCTCCCCCCTGCTGCCCACCACGGCCCAGCGCGAGGTCGCGTGCCGACTCGTTGCGCCCGCTGCTTGCTCGGAGCGAAGACCACCGCGTTTCGCTTTGCTTCCTTCGGGCCTGGCGGGGCGAGGACAACCGCTTTCCCCGCCCGCGATTTCCGGTGGCAGCGCGAGGCACCCAGCCCTGTCAGCTACCAGCTCTACAGCGGACCTCACAGTGGTATAATCAGTATCTTACCGCAGCCTTCGCGCCGCCCGTGGCATGGGCGACAGAGGTGGGGGGGAATGAGGACCAGGACGCACGCTTGGCTGTGGGAGGGGTCAGCAAACCACACGCCCGCGCCGCCGCAACAGACGGCAGAACCACCCCCACGCACGGTGGACCCCCCCGAGCAGGCGCCACTCCCGTGATTTGAAGACTCCTGCCTTGGCGGGGGAGGGTGCCAGTCATGGGGATGGTGGCCGCTTAGGGGGGTCCTATGTGCCAGGGGGTGAGGCCTTGTTGCCACGCCGGCGCTGCTTCGCGCCACCACGCAGGCGGCGCCCCGCAGAGGGCCCCGCAACTAATCACCCACCCTGTCCCATGTAAGCCGTTCGCCGCCACCTCCACGGCCTCGCTTTGCCCCGGTTTAAGCGCGCGCGCCCACACCACCACCTTCTCCCTCCTCCTTTTTCATAATTATATGTTCCCTCTTTTCTCATTTCCGTCCCGTCTGCCCCAGGATCTCGCGCCCCAAATTTTTATTTGTTCTTCATCTCCCCCAGAGGGGGCCCGACCTGGGCCCTCCTGGGGGAGCCGGCAACGTCTGAAAATTTTCAGGCCGCGAGGAAGCGAGGAGGAGGAGGAGGAAAAGAAGGACAAGGAGGAGGAAGAGGAAGAGGAGGAGCAGGAGGAGCAGGAGGAGGAGGAGGAGGAAGAAGGCCCCGCCCGCGCCTGCAGGCGGCCGCCGCAGGGGCCCCGCCGCAGCTCGGGCCGCTCGGGGGTGGCGAAGGCGCCAAAGCCATCGTCAAGAACGAGGAACGCACGTGACTCCTCGTCACCGTGGTCATCGTCCTCCGCCGCCTCCCTCCTCGCGCTCTGCCTCCCCATTCCACATGCTGCCCCTTTCCCTCCCATCATCCTTCTCGCTTACAGTCGGGGCCCTGAAGAAGGAACCCTGTTCGTTGGAGAGGCCTGGAGAGGGGCTCGGCGTTCCTTGATTGAATTCCTGAGGTTTTCCATGGGAAATCTAAGTTCAACGTATGGGAGAAAGGGGCCCCGTTCCTTATTTAGGGTTCCTTAGGTCAACGCCCCGACTGTATCGTCATCTTGCACTTCCTCCTCTCTCTCCTCCTCGTCCTCCCCCTTCCAGGGGGGCAGCGCGGGGAAGGGAGGCGAGAAGGGAGGCGTCGGTGCGGCTCTTGACGTTCAGACGGTTTGAGGAAGGTGCGAGGGAGCGTGTGGAGCCGAGGGCGACGGATGACTTGGGAGGGCAGGAGGAGAACCCCCCCCACATCGGGTGAGATGGGCTTCAAGGTGAACTCTTAGGGGGCAGGGGCAAACGTCTCACGCGCCGAGGAGCCTCCCAAAAGGGGTCGGCGAATGTGTCCCTGCGGCCCGTCAAGAATCCGATCCAGGGCTTTTCCCAGCGCCCTTGTCTCCAGGCCTCCCAGATAGGGCCCGAGTAGATGGTGTCGGGGGATCGCGCTGCATCGCCGATGCATCGGCGATGCGGCTTGATGTGTGGCACGATTCTCTTCACGCCGACGGCGCCGATGCATCGCCGACGCGTCTGCGATGCGTCGGCGATGCGGCGCGATCCTTCGACACCGCATACTCGGCCCCCATGTGGGGAGATATCCAGAGCCACTGGCCGGATTCCGTCGCTTGACCGGCGTCTGACTTCAGTCTTGCGCCCGCGGACCAACAGAAGTCAGTGGGCGGCCACCAGGACATCACCGTCACCGACCAGGACGGGAACAAGGCCCCCGCGCGGTGCTGCCGAGCGGCGGGGGAGGAGCGGCCTTCGTTGCGGGGTCCTTGTCCTCTACTCTGGAGGGGCAATTGTACACGTCGGTCGTTGAAAGTGTTTTTCTGTTGGTTTCCCAGATCCCACTATGTTTCGAGTGCCTTCCTACTTCAAGAATCCATATGCGTTTGGTGTTTGGTTATTCCCCACATGCTTGGTGGGGTTCTGGTTTTCTTCCTTCCCGCGTCGCACCCGCGTCTCCTCACCCCTCTTCCTCCTTCTCCTTCGTGCACAGCACAGCGCAGCACGGCGCAGCGCAGCACTGCACAGCACAGCACAGCACAGCTCAGCACAGCACAGCACACAGCACATCGACACACAGCACGTACACAGCATAGCACAGCACTGCTCAGCACAGTTCAGTTCAGCTCAGCTCAGCACAGTTCAGCACAGCACAGCTCAGCACAGCACAGCTCAGCACAGCACTGCACAGCACAGCATAGCACCTCAGCACAGCACAGCTTAGCACAGCACAGCACTGCACAGGACAGCACAGACCAGCTCAGCACAGCACTTCACAGCACAGCACAGCTCAGCACAGCTCAGCTCAGCTCAGCACAGCTCAGCACAGCACAGCACTGCACAGCACAGCACAGCATACACACACACACACACACAAGCACGCAAACACACAAACACATGACACGCACACCACGCAACAGATGGTCGGAAACCGTGGCAGGCGTTGCACTTTCTCGACGCCAGAGGGGGTGCGCAGGGGGTGGTCCCTCGGCGCTGGCTCTATGCGCGCCAGTGTCGGAGAGCGTGGCCGGCGTTGCATTTTCTCTACGCCAGTGGGGGTGCGCAGAGAGTGGTCCTTCAGATCGGTCTCTATGCGTGCCAGGGTCGGAAAGTGTAGCGAGTGTGGCATTTTCTCCACACCAGAGGGGGTGCGCAGAGAGTGGTCCTTCAGCGCGTCCCCTATGCGTGCCAGGGTCGGAAAGCGTGGCAGGCGCGGCACTTTGTCGACACCTGAGGGAGTGCGCGAGGGGTGGTCCCTCAGCGCGGCCGCTATGCGTGCCAGGGTCGGACAGCGTGGCAGGCGTTGCTTTTTCTCGACGCCAGAGGGGGTGCACGGGGTATGGTCCTTCAGCGCGGCCCCTCTGCGTGGCAGGGTCGGAAAGCGTGGCAGGCGTGGCACTTTGTCGCCACCAGAGGGGGTGCGCGGGGGGGGGTCCCTCAGCGCGGCCTCTATGCGTGCCAGGGTCGGACAGCGTGGCAGGCGTTGCACTTTGTCGGCGCCAGAGGGGGTGCGCAGGGGGTGGTCCATCAGCGTAGCCCCTATGCGTGGTAGGGTCGGACAGCGTGGCAGGCGTGGCACTTTGTCGCCACCAAGGGGGGGCGCGGGGTGTGGTCCCTCAGCGCGGCCTCTATGCGTGCCAGGGTCGGGCAGCGTGGCAGGCGTGGCACTTTGTCGCCACCAAGGGGGGGGCGCGGGGTGTGGTCCCTCAGCGCGGCCTCTATGCGTGACAGGGTTGGACAGCGTGGCAGGCGTTGCACTTTGTCGACACCGGAAGGGTGCGCAGGGACCACCCTCAGCGCGGCCCCTATGCGTGCCAGGGTCGGACAGCGTGGCAGGCGTGGCACTTTGTCGCCACCAGAAGGGGTGCGCGGGGGTTGGTCCCTCAGCGCGGCCTCTATGCGTGCCAGGGTCGGACAGCGTGGCAGGCGTGGCACTTTGTCGCCACCAAGGGGGGCGGCGCGGGGTGTGGTCCCTCAGCGCGGCCTCTATGCGTGACAGGGTTGGACAGCGTGGCAGGCGTTGCACTTTCTCGACGCCGGAAGGGTGCGCAGGGGGTGGTCCCTCAGCGCGGCCCCTATGCGTGCCAGGGTCGGGAAGCGTGGCAAGCGTGGCGCTTTGTCGCCACCAGAGGAGGTGCGCGGGGGGTGGTCCCTCAGCGCGGCCTCTATGCGTGCCAGGGTCGGACCGCGTGGCAGGCGTTGCTTTTTCTCGACACCTCAAAGGGTTGCGCAGGGGGTGGTCCCTCAGCGCGGCCCCTATGCGTGCCAGGGTCGGAAAGCGCGGCAAACGTAACACTTTCTCGCCACCAGAGGGGTGCGCAGGGGGAGGTGGTTCGCCACGGTGCGTGACAGGGCCGGACAGCGGGGCATGCATGGCGGCCAGACTTGTAGACACCTTGGCCCAAGCTGGCTCACATGTCGCAGGTGTTGTCTTGCCGCCCGCGCCGCTCATGCCGCCCAAGTGTCCCATTGACGCACTGCCGGCTCCGTGTTTGAATCTCAAGAATTCCATGGCTGACGCAGGAGTCGAGGTAAGCATTGTGAACTTGCGCAGTTGTGGGGCGGCAAACACATAATGCGTAAAGTAAGTATGTGGGGGTCCTCGGTGGCGCAGTTCTCTGCAAGGGCCCTGAATCCCATCTGCTTGACCCGCCTTCCTACTTCATGTTTGTGCCTACTTCTTCCGACCGACGCGT